AAATATGATTAGGTTATTACTTTATGCTTCCTAGGATATTCATACTGAACTTATCCAGCACACAAGGAAACAGATGATCAAACGTGGGCTTGTTCATGAGAAACTAAGCATTGATTCAGTAGCTCACAAAAGAAATGGCTCATGCCCTCTTATGCCCGAAGAGGTAAAGTTAAATTCTTGTTTTATTGAATAAAATAGTTCTTGATCCTGAAATGACTAATTATCTGCTTTTTTTGGGTGTTACTGATTTCATATTTTTGTGGCACATATGGTCAAAGCCATCAGAAAGTTCACTGATTTCATAGTACTTATAAGTTGCAAAAATTTTGCTCTCACAGACACAAGTTATTGGTGGATGTGATTTCATTTGTCTCCTTGGTTTGTGTATATATGAATCCCATGCACTATAGAAAATAGTAAATTGTAATTTTTCACCTGATTATCTGGACTGTTTTCTGACAAGTGAGCTTGAAGGTGTTCCTTGAATGCATGACCCGAACTTTTGTTTCTCCACGAGTGGTTACTACTTTTCTCAGGCGTCTTTTCCAGCAATCTTTAAACTGATGTCAGTCTAGTCAGCCTTATGTTATTTTAGAAGTATTCTTATTTTTTAAGATCTCGGTTTCTTGCCTCTTTAAAGAACATTCTCCATAAAAGCATTGCCCATAAAAACTTATGTTATTTTAGATGTATTCTTATTTCTATGTTATTACGAGAAAAGAAGTTTCACAAGATTGTAATCAGAGCAGCTGGTTTGCTGCTGTAATTTGCGCTTTGGCTGCTTTGGCTATTGGAGACTTGATATTTTTGCAATAACATCGCTAACTCTGAGGTCTGAATGCTGAGTCATCATTATCCACTGTGAAAGTAGGAAAGTTGCTTGGATGGTTGACAGCTGTTATGTGACGACTAGGAAAGATGGCATTAGTCTTGAACATAGTTAATTATATTGATCCTGTACTTTTCTTAACTGCTTTAATATAGTTGCCCTGATCTCTTAGGAAATTGCTAATGCTTGCAAGCATGGTAGGATTTTTCAGCTTTTACTCAAAAGCATTTACATTATATATTTTTTCTTTATCTATTAGTTTCTGTGAGCTCCTTTTTCTTTTCTGGTAAGCAATTTGTTACCTCCTCCATCTGACATACTTCACTTTTTGACACTGTAAAGGTGGGACTTCTCTTTCGGGCAATGCGGTATCCTCCAAATACGATAATTTATTTGGCTGGTTCAGAGATATTTGGGGGGCAAAGAGTGCTTATCCCTTTCCGTGCCATGTATGCAAATACAGTAGATCGTACTTCTGTCTGCAGTGAAAAAGAGCTGTCTCACATATTGGGCCCAGAATCTCCTCTTCCTTCTGTTCAATCCAAGTCTGCTCCAGTCAAAAGTGAGAAACAACTCATTGAAGAATGGAAGAAAGCTGGACCTCGGCCACGCCCTCTTCCACCTCCTCCTTCAAGGCCCTTCTATCAGCATGAGAAGGAGGGTTGGTATGGCTGGGTTGCCGAGGCTGACAAAGAACCGGAGTCATCACCTATAGATCTGAGAATGCAAGCACACAGATTGATCTGGGATGCGCTAGATTATTATGTCTCTGTCGAAGCTGATGCATTTTTTCCCGGCTTTCATAATGATGGGAGTGGGTGGCCTGACTTTTCAAGCTTAGTCATGGGTCACCGTCTATACCAAATGGCCTCCGGGCTAACATACCGCCCTGATAGGTAAAAAAATATATGACTTACTAGGTTCTTTTGGTGTCAACTTTACAGATAGGGTTAATTGCATGTAGACCCCCTTGTGATATTTTTGTTTAGAACGATTATCTCTCTAGTTTCATCGTTGCATATAACCATTGTGTTAATTTTTTTTTACTCTTTTACCCTCATATAGATGCACTAATTTCACCCATATAGATGCAATAATTTCACCCGTATAGATGCACTAATTTCACCCGTATAGATGCACTAATTTCACCCTGGGTCAATGTCTGCCAAAATCTCACCAAGGGTAAAAGAGTTAAAAAAAATATAACCCTTGGGGGTTAGGGGTAGTAAATGAAAAACAAGGATACTACACAGGATCTATGTGCAATTAACCCTCATAGATAACGCTTACAGATATTTAGGCAGGATCATATGCATCAGTTCAATTAGCCTTCTCTATTTTCCTCTCATTTATCCTCATGCTTCATTAAACATCAAAATTTTGGATTCATTTATGGCAAGCAATGTTACATTAAACGTTGGGCGTTTCTAGACGTCGGACTTGGCGCCCAACGCTTAGTCGCCTAGGCGGATGCCTAAGCGGTTTCTGGGCGTTTTTTTCTTTCTTCATTTAAGTGGTGGTCGATGAGGTTTTGCTGAAGGTCGGAGGAGGTAGTGGAGGTTCATATTTGGAGGCTAATGGAGTTTGGAGGACGTGTAGGCTACGACACATAAAATCACAATCAAGACCTACAGGGTGCAATCCACGTAAGTAGACAATGCGCCCCTAAACGCTCGTAAAATCTAGATGGGCAGCCTAAATACCGTCTAGACGTTAGGCGCTAGTTAGGCGGCCTAGGTACCGTCTAGACCTAGGCGTACGCCTAAGCGGACTAGGCGGAGGTTTTTTAAAACAGAGATGGCAAGAATATGAATGCTCTGAATTATCATTTTCTTTTGAACTTTTTGCATAAAATGCTGGTTGCTTTGGTCATTTCATTGTTCATGTGCACATATGGACTAATTCAGGAAAGGTAGTAGGCAAGTTTGAAAATGTGAGTTAACAAACTGGGCCCCAACAACTAGTTTTCCTTCTTCAATATATTCATTAGCCTCAGATTATGTCACTTTGCAGAAATCAAAATTTTATTTTCTCCATTTTAAAGCTTTTACGGTGTAGGTAATCTTGTAGAAGTCCAAGTCTGTCATATATGTCCTAGTTAACTTAGTTTTTGGGAGGATGTCCTAGTTGATTCATGAGACCATGATGTAATAGAAGTAGTTGATAATTCAATGTCGCCAAAACGTTCGCCGATGGGTTTGCCCGAGTCCACGAGCGAAGATACTCCCAAATCCATGGATTGTTGGACACGAAGGCTGGAATCCACTAGTTGAAAGAGAGAAATCTCTAGGTTTTAATAATAAATTTATTGATGCAAAATGAGTACAACGGGTGCCTTAAATAGGCAATTAGGCATACACTTTCTTGATGAAAAAGAAATCTAAATATTGCCTTGAAGAAAAAGAAATATAAACTAAGAAAAGAAATCTAAAAACTCTCGTAATTTATTATTAAATGTCTCCTAACTTTTCCTAAAAGAAAAAGAAAACTAAACTATGGGAAGAGATAAAAATATCTCCAAATTTATTCAAAGCAATCAAATCTAATCAAATATGAGATCTAGGATAAATTTTATCTCAGATTACTACTCTGCTGCATCAGACTATCCTCATTGGAAAGAACTCATCCTCGAGTTCGGCACTGGATATGAAGTCATATATTAGTCTCCTCTTGTTGAAAGAAGCTAGACGTCAAGCTTATATTTGTTTGAATAGTTGCTTTTTGCTAAACACTCTTTTTTCCTGCGCCGATCAACATCTACCTTGTACTTAGCATTAATTTTTTTCCATCCGTTGTTTTACCTTCTTGGCTAGTACTTCTTCTGAAACAAACTTGAGTATGAGCCTTTCCTACACCATGTGTGACTGGCGACATGTTGATCTATAGTTGACTTGAAAAATTCATCCAAATATTTTGTTTGTTGCTTTTCATAGTCTAGTGCCTAAAGTATCATCTCATTCTTGCTAAAATCATTGAAAATTGTTGCTTCCAAACAAACTCATACTCCGTCCACAATTCTTTCATCTCCTTTGCTATGGATTCTCCATCATGCAAGTTAAAAATATCATGAATCCTCTCGCTCTTTATTATACCCTACTCCATTGGGACAATATCGATAGGTGTAGTATCACTCAGAATAGCTCCGGGAATCCCAAGCACAACGAAGGGTTGCAGCTCAAGGGGAATCTCGGTGCTTCAAAGTCTTCTTCCCCAATTACGAACTGGGCATAAATTTCTTCTGCTATCTTCAATCTTCTGTCAGCATCTGGTTGACCTCCACTAAAAAGCCTTTCTTCTCAGCAGTCTGAGTCTCTATCTTGGATGGCTTTGGTTCTGTGATTGACATAACTGATGTAGTCGTATTTGTTTCTTCTTTTGTGCTCTTGACTACTCTAGACCTTGCTTTGAGGTAGATTGTGGTTGTTCGTCAAAGGAAGGTGGATCGAACTTTATCTCGAATCCTTCAGCATCATGAAACGTCAGTAGTAAGTATCCTCGACCATAATCATGACGCTGCCTTCATAGCTATTGTTGTTAGATTCATGTTGTAGAGTCGGATCTCATTTTTTACGACCATCATGACCAACGTGATCTCGATTATCACCATTGCTTTTCTTCATTGTTGTCAAGAGTCAGGTCAGTTGCTGTAACATAGTGTCGACCTTTTGTTGTATACTTTTAAATTCGGTACGGAGGACGGGATTGATGTCAGCCATCGTGAATGAGGAACTTGTTGCTCTGATGATACCATTTGACGTAGCGAAAGTAGTAGTTGGTAATACGCCATTGTGGAAATGTTTGCCAATGGATTTGCCCGAGTCCACGAGCAAAGATAATCTCGAATCCACAGGTTTTTCGAATATACGAACACTGGAATCTACCAGTTGAAAGAGTGAAATCTCTAGGTTTTAATAGAAATTTTCATGGATGCAAAATGAGTATAATGGGTGCCTTTAAATAGGCATACACTTGATGAAAAAGCACCTTGCCTTGAAGAAAAAGAAATCTGAACTAAGGAAAGAGATCTAAAATCTCTTCTAATTTACTTTGAGATCTCTTCTAACTTTTCCTTGAAGAAGAAAAAAAAAACCTAGACTATGAAAAGAGAGAAAGTATCTCTTCTAATTTATTCAAAGCAATCAAATCTAATCAAATATGAGATCTAAGATAATCTTATCTAAGATTTACTACTCTGCTGCATCAGACCGCCTTTCCATCCAATGCATTCTTTACTTTGTTGATCCGTCATTCTACATTTGATTTTTCTGTAATATATAGTGTTGGAAGATTCAAATCAAGACTTCATTATGGCCACAGGATAGGTGCTTTAGTGCATAACAAACGTTGACCACTCAGAATACATCCAATCTTCAATCTCTTCTGTTAGTTTTTATGAGGCAAACTTGCAGACTTCTAATATTTACACTGTTAACAAATCTTATATTGTCTTCTTCCAGGAAAAACCTTGTTGGGTTGTTTAAAACTATTAGGGATCACCTCTATCATCCAAAACGCAACTGGACTGAATTAGCGCGGGGTCATCTTAACAGAAGTTTAGGTATAGATGGGTTAATATTAGAGGCTCGAACATCAAAACCCACATCATTTCTCTCCCACCCTCTTCCCGAATGTTCCTGCAGAGCATCAAAACCAGCAGACATTCCGAAACCCGTGAAAGGTTCAAAGGGAGAAATTTTATATGGTGGAGAGGACCTATGCCCAGATTGGATGCTCCGTGGCCTTTCGATGGTTCTTACAAAGTCTGAGAGTAGTAAAGAAGAGGGAGTGGAGGAGAATGAGCCACCTGAAGAGTATTCATACGCTGAAGGCCAATTGGACTCTGATGAAAAGAGTAAAACCGATGCATCTAGATCCAATGAAGAAGATGAAGCCATGGATCCTGATGATTAAAGCTCACTGGTTTCGATTTTTACACGTTCTAAAATCATTACTGTGCTGCCTGAGGATTGCAGAGAGATCAGACGGGGTGTAAACAGAGAATTCGATTCATTCGTCATGAAGTCCTCTTGTACATCGGTTAGCATACAGCTTGAGGAGTTGATCTAATCATTTATTTATTTGCCTGTGCCTCCCATTAGATTGGGTATATATATATAAGCTTCTTCTGTACATTATCATGTCTAATGTTTTTGAGGATCAGATGTGTACAATGGCCCGGGAGGCAGTAGCAGGGCTTTGATGTATTAAGGGGCTACTGATCTTTGTACTTTTCTGATTTTGATGAAATTTTGATAATTTGATTATAATCTGTTCCATTGTGTAGCAATAATTGCGGACTGAGTGAAACATAGTTTCCAGGTTCACATTAGAGCAATATTTTCGCTCTTTTTTTGCTTGTGATATCCTAAGTTTCTTTTGTTTTAAATCACATTTTCATGATCTTCCTGAGTTGTAATCTTAAACGTGCAGTCAGTAGACCTCATAATTTACTGAACGGCTGATCTTTGCAGTTGCTTTCTTTTAAATACACATATATTACAACTTGTAGCAGTGTAGCGTATTATTTTTTATTCACTTTGGGTGTTTTCGGTTTTTTTTTTGTCTTCAAAGTTTGTGGATGGTAATGAAGGACGCTAATCATTCACTATATTGGCCCACTATTTGCGACGGCAGATGGTCATTTGTTCTGAGAGCCATAACCTCCTCTTTGTTTTTCCGCCTTTCTTGTTCAGCAGCAAAGGTTGCTATCTGATCTAAACATGTGTCCTCAAATTTTACATGTGATCACATCTCATTGGCTGTGGAATCCAGGACTAGATACCTTTCTTATTCTTCTTGTTCTTTGGGTGTGGGGAGTTGGGTGGGGATGATGGCGATTGGGTTGTGTTTCTTTCACAGGGTGCCATCATGGGACTAGTCTTTGAGATCCAAGAGCCAAAAAAGTCATTAAGCCTAATGTCAGGATTGATCCTAGCTTATATCTTTCCCGAGACAGACCAAATCAAAATCAGTTTTAAGAGTCAAATTAAGCCTTAGAAAACTAGGCTAGTACTGATGTCTAGGATGCTCTCTTAAGTAGAAAGACTCTTGAAATTATTAGATTGCTTTTTAGATTCACTCCTCCTCGCCCCCATAAAGTTTATGACTGTACGTATCCATTCCAAGCTGAATTATTTTCTTGTTACGTATAGTTGGGATGTCACATATGTTAGTGTGTCGTAGAAAGTTGTTTTATTTGATTATTTCAAAGTATTGTTGGAAAGACCCCCCTCTTCTCTGAACATACACCTACTCTCACATGTACATATAACAGAGATATGAGCGTATATGCAACTAATCCTAAGATATTCACCAAAGTTATATGGGTTATTAGCGTAAATATTTTGTATTGATCCACATCAATTGCGTTCGAAGTCATAGTCTGACCCAAAAGGGTCTATCCGATTTGGTAAGCTGATTTGCCTGAGCACACCACAAGAATTTAATTTCTTAGAATACCCGAGTCAATGCATTGTGGTGCCCCTTAGCCACGCCTTCTATGGTACGGAGGATCATGGGAAAGTTCCCTAGTCAAACCAAAAAAAGAAAAAAAATCATAACCTAAAGTCAAGCTAAGACTTTAACTTCATTTACTCTTTGGAGTAATTTGCAGCTTTCTTTTCCATTGGTTGATCCTTCAATATTTGGGTTCCCCACTTTGAAGACAGCTTACGAAGAAATCGCGATGCTCTCCTCTTCTTAATCTTTGTCTATGATAACTAATCATCGGGAATATCTTTACTAAAATCCCTTCAGATATCTCCGTAATTTTCTTTTTACCAATGCAGATAAATTACTCAACTAAAATATTTGATCTAGATGCGAACGGGTCGGGTTACCACAAAGCGAATTGATCTAAAATCCGAATTTCAACCTATGATGTTTGGACTGTATTTTTTGTTTCGAATCGGCTTAACCTTTCCAACAAAGTCGAATCAATCAAATTCAATTCAACCAACATTACGCATATCTAACATTTATATGTCTTGTTTTACGCACTGTAAAATACATACTATCTTCGTGTGTGTGTGTGTTTTGAGAATAAAACCAAGGATATACCATGTTCATTAATATATATCAAAAGTATAGTTACAAAAGTAGGATATGAACTGTATCCATAGAAATTGGAAGATAGAAAATATAATCTCTCTTAACTAGTGATGTGTAACCTTCTTCTTCCGAACATCCATGAAGGTGAAGAGTGAGTCTTGTCGTCATTCACCGTAGACACAGATATAGGGAAGAACCAAAGCATGCCATACATATAGTATAAAGAAACTATATTTTCTATAGTCCAATAAAACAAAATGAAGGACCAACAAAAATTTTCTTTGCACAAACAATACAAAAGACTAACAAATGCTATCATCCACTGCTCCTCGAAATTGGCTTGGCTTCTAATGCAGCTGCTAACTTGAGTGCATAACTTCCTCTTCCAGAATCTGTCCATACATATAATCCAGAGATAGTTTAGTTAATAATGGACTGAACAGAGAAGTTGACATGTTCAAAAACAAAATTATTTCTTGTAGACCATAAATTCTAGCAAAATGTAGATAAAATGGAGCGCCATAAGATCCCATCAATTTTTTGTAGAGATTCTACAGAGAGAAGAAGGTCATAGAGAGATGTTAGCCATATGAAAGGCAGATAGTAATCACTAAAATGGTTCCACACTTTTTTAGCTACATTGCATGAGAAGAAGAGATGATCTCTAGATTCAGGATGTGATAATCTCTAGATTCAGGATGTGTACCACATAATAAGCAAGTAGGATCATTTTGCCAGCATTTCTTTATAAGATTGTCTTTGGTGTGTAGTCTATTCATAGATAAAAGCTATGTGAAAAACTAAATTTTGCTAGGCATAATAGGATTCCATATAACTTTGAATATGGCAGAAGGAATTCCTCTAGAGTTTAAGAAAACATACAAAGACTTGACTGAGAAAGAGCCACTTGATGTAAGAGTCCATTTAGGAACGTCCACTTGATTGGTAATTCTGTGCAAACAAATAAGATTCATGAGCTCTAGCTTTGCAATGGAAGATACAGATGAGATGCTTCTCTTCAAAATTGGATGCCAATGCCATATATGAGCATGAAAGCTTCCTTGACTATGAGTAGAAACATTTTTAGACAAAGAGAGATTATATAAACACAGATATAAACTTACTAATGTGTTATTACCAATCCATTTGTCCTCCCAAAATTTGATCTTATCACCAGAACCAAGAGACCATGATAAAAGATGTAAAAAAACTTCTTTGTTGGAGATTATATCATTCCAAAATAAAGAGTTAGAGGCACTGCAATTAGCTAATTGGAGATTGGAAACTTTTCTGATATATAATTGATGAATGAATGCTCCTATTAATGAATCTCTATCAAGACATTTCCATAACCACTTTGAAAGGAGGGAGATATTAAAAATTTTGAGATCTTTTACTCCCAATTCTCCTTCTGGTTTACTCAAACAAACCCTCTTCCAATTGACTAAGCATTTGAAATGTTTGGATTCAGCTTTACCTGTCCATAAGAAACTTTTTCTGATTTTATCTATCTCTTTAATCAACCATCTAGGTAGTTCATAAAAATACATAAAAATACAAAGGAATCAAAGAAAGCACTGAGTTCAATAATACTAGTCTGCCCCTAAAAGATAAACAATTACTCTTTCATGGTGCAAGTTTCCTGTGAAGATATCTAACAAAGGTTGCCAATCAGATTTAGATAATTTACCATCTTTCAAGGGTAAGCCAAGATATTTGATAGGAAGTTTATCAACTTTGCAATTGAGGGTAGAAGCTAGAGAGTTTTCCCTGTTTTGGAGTTTGCCAAAATAGATTAGGGATGACTTAGAATAATTAATGCCCAAGCCTGAGATTTCTTCAAAGATGTATAAGATTGCCTTGAGAGTAGTTATGTCATTGAAGGTGCTTTTGACAAAACACAAAGTATCATCTGTAAATTGGCGGCTTCTAATCTAGTTAAGAGGTTCCTTAATAGACAGGCTAGATAATAATCCTTCGTCAACGTTATTCATAATCATTTTACTCAATACATCAACTGTAATGTTGAATAACATAGGAGATAGAGGGTCTCCTTGTTTTAAACCTCTTTTACATTTGAAAGATCTGGTGGGAGATCCATTAACAAGAACTACACAGTTGGATGAAGATATTATATAAAGGATCCAAGAGCACCATTTATCACCAAAACCTCTAGCTTTAAGTAGACTTATAAGGAAGCTCAAGCTTGTAGAATCAAAAGCTTTCGTAAAATCAATCTTCAACATGGCTACTTCCTTCTTCCTCTTAGAATAGAAATGAATCATTTCGTTGGCCACTAAGATGGAATCAAGAGTTGATTTGCCTGCATGAAAAGCAAATTGAGTAGGAGCAACCAATTCATGCATATAGGGTGCTAGTCTGTTGGCAAGAATTTTTGTGAAGATTTTAAAAAGGCAGTTAATAAGATTGATAGGCCTATAATCTTTAACTTAGGAGCATCCTTTGATTTTTAGAATAAGAGTAATAAGGACTTTATTCACTCTATGAAGAGATGAAAGATTATACCAGAAGTAATTCATGAGAGCAATAAGATAATTTTTAATCAACTCCCAGAAAGATTGATAGAATAACATAGAAAACCCATCTGGACCTGGCGTTTTGTTTGGATTCATATTGAAAACAACATGTTTAATCTCTGATTCTAAAAAAGAAACCTCAAGGGCTAAGAGGTTCTGGTTTTGAACAGGATACAAAGAAGACCAATTGACTGTCAAATTAGTCTTGTTTTCTTGACCAAAAAGACTGAGATAATATCATGAAAAGACTTAGTAATATCTCCATTATTGCTAATCTCAGAACTCAAATGATTAATAGAAACTATATGGTTGGACCTTTTGTGGATAGAAGTTGTTCTATGGAAGAAAGAAGTATTTGCATCACCTTCTTTTAACTATTGAATACGTGATCTCTGAAACCAATAAGTTTCTTCCTCTTGAATGATAGAAGCATAGCAGTCTTGAAAAGATTTCCTATCATTTGATTCAACTAAAGATAAAGGTATCTGTTCCTCAATTAAATCAAGAGACTTGATTTTGGATAACAAGTCCGCCTTTCTAGAAAATAAGGATCCATGAATATTTTTTTCTCCACCATTTAATTCTCCTCTTTAGAAGATTAAGCTTCTTAATAAAAATATCTGCTGGATTTCCTTGACATTGAAAAGATTTCCAGGAAGTTTCAATAAAAGGAATAAAACTTTTGTTATGAAACCAGCTTTTCTCAAATCTAAAAGAAGGTGGAGTTGGTTTAATACCCCTACTATCAAGAATAATAGGTGA